ACATGTTAAAATTTTCTTTGAAATAATAATTAAGAGTGAAAAATATTAAAGTTAAAAATTAAATAAAACTAAATTGTCAGAAATTACCCCTAATATGAGGATTAGCATTTTGCCAATTGTTTAGAAATGAAAAAAAACATAATAAATTGTATTGGCTTACTTGCAATTTTTCAACAATCATATGAATATATATGTTCCTTACATTTTGTAAGTTAGTTTCTTTATAATTAATAAAAGGGAAATTACAAGTATTTAAATTCAAACGGACTCGGTATCATTCATATAAATTTTGAGACTTGAACATATAAAATTTGAGCCTTCAGTAAGTTGATTGCTAGCTGCAGAACTGTAGCTCTCCGAAAAAATATATATCGATAGACCGGAGGGCTACAGTCCCACATGTATTTTTATTGCGCATAAAAATGCGCTTGGTTCTAGATTAATTCTTCCAAATTCTTACCTCAATTGCAAAAACGGCTAGATTTCAATAAAGTCCTTACTTCTTTATCAATTAACGGCATGGTTTACATCACAGGTGCTGGAGGACAGGAACCCCCCCCCCCCCCAGTACAATACAATGTGATATAATCTATCCTATCAATTTAGAAAATTTGTTTAAACTTACATTTTATAAAAATATCTACCCTCTCTATATGATCTTTATATAGAGAATGTAGGGTAGATTTAATAGAACGTTTGTTTTAGATAATTTTTCGATTTGCTGGTATAGATCTTATCACAAATATGTCAATGAAAGATATCTTATGAGAAAAAATTCGAAAAAGCCTAGGGGTATATATCGAAGCACCTGTGGTTTACATCTGTACGAAGAGCGTTAGACCGAAACATCTTCTCAATTCCAGGTCCAGGAGGGCTATTACAAACAATTATAAGGAATGTTTTGTTGTGGAAACGGTGAAAGAATATGTTAGGAACACACAGTTAGTAAAATTTTGAGATGACAGTTTTTAGAACACGGAGAAATAAATCGAGAAACAGCGCATTTTTTTGTGCGCAATAAATATACAGTTTTCAATGGGTGGCACTGTAGCTCTCTGGTCTATCAATATATGTTTTTTTTTTCGGAGTGCTACAGTTCTGCAGATAGTTGTTTGCTTTCTGTCAATTTTAAATTGGTACAATCTTATAAAAATACTGACAGGGGATATTATACAAAAAGCTCCATAAAGGAGTTTAAGAAAATAAAAGATGCTGGATTAACTCTTATCCCACCTCCCGAATCAAACAATTGTCTTCCTTTTTCGCTTGGAAAATTATTTTCAGGTAAGTTTAATGTTACCCCCCCCCCCCCCCCCCCACCGACCCTTTCAAAATCGTTTCTACGTCACTGCTTTGACTGCAAATTTTGTGAATAAGAGATTTTATGAACATGAATAAATCAACTTTATTTAAATAATGGGGGATTGATAACCCTCCTCCCCCAATTTGAATAAATATGAATCCAGTTGTAACGTGAAGCGGTCACCCATCCAAGGGTTAAACAGGCTCACCGTTGCTTAACTTGCCTGAAAAAGAGGGAGACTCTACCGCATCACCAGAAAATCTAGCTCACTGGCGAAGCAGTAAAAGTTCCCTATATACTGTCCGCTACACTTCCCCCGCTCAGAGAAGCTTCGACCCGAAGCTTAGCATGAGTTCTCTCTGAGTATTTGGGCCTCTTCAGCTACGGCAACCAATGCCGTTCCCGGACACGAAGTCCGTACCTGGACACAAAGTCCTAGTCTCAGGGGATGACAAATCCCATTGACCGACGCCCGGGGCTAGTGAATTTTAGGGGTGGGCAAGTGGAACTTTATCAACCACTTGCCCGTGGGCAAGTAACTTATCAAAAGTAAAATCAATATGTATAACCCATAGATTTAAAGCTGGGCATAGGGGCTTTTATGATCTATTTAGTATTTGTCTTCCTCTTGTTATGAAATATATAAGAATACAGTATTAGCTCATGTCAGGGCAAGCAAAAATTCAGGTAGGGCAAGTGAATTTTGACAATGTACTTGCCCTTGGACAAGTGCCTTAAAAATCTATTTGTCAGCCCCTGTAGTCTTAGAGCTTTCTGAAGTAGGTCGAAACCTGACTTCAGATACGGCAACCCCTGCCGTCCACAGACACGAAGTCTGTATATGGACACTAAGTCCTAGCTCTAAGACTTCCTGAAGCAGGACACCAGACACCCAGAGTCACTATGCTGCCACCAATTTTGTAATGTGAAGCGGTCACCCATCCAAGGGTTAAACAGGCTCGCCGTTGCTTAACTTAATTGCCTGGAGGGAGACTCTACCGCATCACCAGAAAAGCTAGCTCACTGGCAAGGCAGTATAAGTTCCCTATATACTGTCCGCTACACAGTCTTTTATCATGTTTATAGCCAGTTTTAAATTTTTACCACTTTGTACTGCAAACTAGCAAAGTTTTGGCTGCAATAACGACTCATACTTTCTGGGGGGGGGGGGGGTTAGTACCCTCCCCCGAATAATTTTGCTAATATTTATCATGGAGGGTCCTATATCGGTGGGGTACCTAAATTGGTGGCATCTCCTTTTGAGCTGATGATTTTTAATGTGAGGTCTGACTTTATCAATATATGAATGTTACGTAACACAGTAGTTTAAAGTATGTAATGTAAAATTAAAAATATTCCTAGGAATGACGGTGTTTGATTACTCAAAAACACACTAAATTTATGAAACCTAAACCCTACATGTAGATTGAAATTACAAATTATTTTTGAATTTATTGAGAGTATGCAATCAAATACCTGTTTGTATTCTTATATTTTTTCAAATGATGACAAAACAAGTTACTAAGACACTAAGAAAACTACGTGCGTTTATATTGAAAATATTTGATTTTAGTTAGTCATTCCTCCATGATTTTTCGATCCCTCACTTATTTCATTATTACATGTTTCATATGTGTTTTTCTTTTCCTTTTCATATTCTGATTATGTATATCATATACTTGTCCTCTGACCTGAATTTATATGTTGTAAATATTCTTCATTGTCCTCATGTACCTGAAATGGTTTGAGTAAATAAAATGATCTTGAACTTGAACGGGGCCAGGTGCCTTAAACAAAATATCAAATGTATATTTTGATTAAAAATATGTTATTATTTGATTTAATTTCCTATTCAATTGTACTTGTTAGGAAAAAATTTGTATCTTTTATTTACCATGAAATACATGTAGATTCCCCGAGGACAGAACCCTATAGAAAATATACCTACTACATGTATATGCCTAAAATAAAAAAAAAACATCAAATGACCTTTTTTTTTTACTTTCTATGGAATTTTCGGTATTTTTTCATAGTTGATAATAATGTAGGTTGTCTCCCCTCCCCCACACTGAAATTGCTTCCTATGGGCCTGTTACATCATACATGTATTTGTTTATTCAAGCTAAATTGTTATTTTTTACATTCAAGTATCTAAAATAAGTTTTCCCTCTTTCATAGTGCAATAATACTCCACAACAACTCCCTAGGTGAAGAAAAAATGATCATACATGACTTAATATAATTCCTATAAATTTCTTCTTTCCATATTGACATACCTGTCACTTTTTACCCAATAATACAAAAGAGTTCCAACAAGGGGAGATAACAATTTAACTCCAACAAATTGGTAACAAAGGGGTAAAATAAGCAAAAGAAAGTTATATGAAGTGTCCAAATCAGTTATTCCTCTTCTAAAAAATATATTAGATTAAGAATCTTCTCTTTTTCTTTAAATATCATAGAAATAATCCAAAAATATGGTAAAAGACTGCTATTTAAAATATGTGAAATTGTAGCAAAATATGGAATTTCAAAGTTAATTTACAGCATGTAGATATTATTTCCCAAGCTCAATATTTTAATACAGAGTAGACCTTAGATCATTCTTAAAGTAGCAATTAATTTGATTTAATTTCAACCTTGGTCTTGAGAGAAACGAGCATCTAAAAATGGCTAAAAAATCATACTCATTTATTTAGGATCTATAAATAGATGTGTAAAAAATAAAATATTCATTTGATTTAAGTTTTTTCTCCTTAATTGTGTTAACTGGACCATGACTTTGACAATAAAATAAAATTTGAAAATAAACTGATGACGAAAGGTAACTTTTTGACTTGATCAATTTGTATACATTTTCCATTAAATTTTGTGTGATTTTCGACAAATATGCAAATGAGCTGTTACTAAAAATAGATGCAGGGTTCGACATTTTTGTGTGGATATTCTGACTTCTACCTTTATGTAGAAAATTTTAAGCCACTAAAAATTCCCAAGTTGCAACCTTCCATTTGGACGATTTTTTGAATTTTGCATGATTTTCTCGCGGACTGGCTCTTAATAAGTATCCTTTTCAGATATGAGAAGATTAAAGAGAGAAATGAGAGTCTTGTGAAGTTTTTAAAATCCAGTGAAGTAAAGGTAAGTAGATTGTATTACGTTTATCAATGTTCACTGCGTGAAAAAATAGCTTTACAAAGCCAGTAAAGATAATGTAAATTTAAAATTTACATTATCTTTAAATGACTTTACTGAAAAAAGTCAAAGTTCTAAAAGGTGACCTTTACTACATCTTTACTTTACTTAAATATAATGTAATGTCCCACTTTTTCTTGGCTTTACAAAGAAGTAAATTTGATATTTAATTGCATTAAATGTATTATTTTGTTTGCAGTAAAATAAAAGTTTAAGTATATTAGTGGCAGTAAATTTAACATTTCATGGCATAAAATATTGTATTTTGTTCGCATAAAACTTAAAGTTTACCAATTGTAAACATATTGTATATTTCAATCACCTTTACTTAAACAAAATGTAATTTTTACATATATTAAAGTTAATCTTTCCTCTGCACAAATTATTTCATAGTGTTATATATTAAACCATATAGCCTATTGTCTTCATCAGCAGTCCAATAGACAAAATATAACAATAAACAGTGTATCAGGTTATTATTTTTTTTTATTACAAATATTTAAGTACTGTAAAATAAAAGGTAGAAAGTTTCAAAACACATGTAAAAAATGATTTGTAGACAAAATCCAGCAGTCAAAGCATGGCCTAACAATCAAACCAAGAAAGTGCTACAAGTGTAATAGTTTATTTGAAAACCCAGTTGAATTCCTCGTCGTGTTCTGGTGCTTCTTGTTCTTTGGTGGAACCTGCTGTTCGTTTTTGTACTAGTCTTTTGCTCCTTGGTGGACATGTTTCCAAGTATTTTTTATCCAAACTGTCCTTGACATGTTTCCATGTCTCACTTTCCCAAGAATATGGGTGTGAGATAAAGCCATCCGCTGCCTCTTCATCACTGGACATGTACTTGTATGACTGTTTATGGCTTAAAAATTTTTTCACTGATGCTCTCTTATCTTCTGGCCAATTCTTCTTTCTGTCTGTGGCAACCAATCTTCGTCTTAATTTCTGAGGATTATAACAAATATAATTTTAAATTCAAGGCAGAACAAATAAATTATGTTACTGTTAGTAATATTTTAAGATTTTTAAAGTATTTTAAGTTTTTCTATACATATCTATCATAATGTAATTTTTCCCACAAAATGATGTGTCCTTTTACAAAAAATACATATGGTTTAATATTAGAGGGGTCAAGATTTAGTAATTGAGCTGATCGTAGGGGCCTACAATGCATAAAACCTATCACTGGATATCTGTTACAGGAATGTCAATACTTAGTCTTGCTTAGAAAAAAAAGTTTGTATTAAAATCAATGAATTAAAATTCTAAAATAGTGGGATAAGTAGAACAAGTAAATGTTAATAAAAAAAATTGCTGTTGTTTTATCCACTTTACAGCTGTATACAGGGTTATTTTCGCCCTTTTGAACTTGTGAACAATTTTGCCCCGTTTTAATTCGCCAAGTCATAGTTCTGTTGAAGATGTTGTGAGGTGTTATGTGAATTTGCCCCATTTTAAATTCGTCTGATCGAGGACAGGGCAAAAATTTCCATGTATACAGTAATCCCTATGAAGCGCCCCAGGTATTATGAAATTTAAAAAAGGGGTTTGTTATTTTATGCATTTTCTTTATAATAAATTTACAATACAGAATCACTAAGATTGTCTTGCTTTCCTTTAAAATAAATAGGATAATCCACCCAAATCATGCAAGATGATAAATTTTTCCACCAAGAAATTAGAGAATAGACAAAAACAAATGTTGTTGGTAACTTTCACTTTCAGACATACATAATCATTGGATTGTTCCAAAAATAATTCACTCTAAGGAATACTTATGTACGAGTTATCCAATAGAGAAGATTCAATTTACTTTCTTAAAATTATTTTGGACTTTCTAAATGATTCTAGATATTTATAACGGATGATTAATAGGAATGGAACGGTACTAGTACTTTGGAGAAAAAAAAAACTGTGAAATAGCAGAATTTGTTTTTACTGTATCATGATAAAGCTTGTATCAGGTGGAGCTTTTGAGTGGTTTTGTTAAAATAAAATTGAGTTTCATAATTTAATACCTCATTTTTTCTTTCATAAGATGCCTGACGCTGCCTATGAAGTAGATCTTTATTCTTTGCTTTTCTGGTGGCCCCTTCCTTTTTAGAAGTAAAATATCGCTTCACAGCAGCTGTAAAAAAAAATTCTCATTTCTTAAAAATAATAATGGCAAAATAATTTTTTTGATTACTTCATAAACCCTCTGCTTACTCATATCAAATGATGCTTGAACCTAAATGATTTTCCAAAAGAAATGTATTTTTAAGTAAATACAAACAAGTACAGCATAGCCTGCGAGGCAAAATTGGACAAAAATGACACTTCAACTTGGCAATTTTAGAAAGGAATAATAAACATTTTAATTATATCATATCAGATTATCAAAGACAATTAACTTTTATAATGTTCATGTGAATGACATGTTTTAATGCGAAATTAATGTTACATGTATTCAAATAGATTGATCACAACGCTTACTATCTAAAACTTCATTCGACACATCTGGTGCAACTCCTTTGACACTTTTCTTTATGAAGTCAGTCATTTCGTTGTTTGCTTCATCATTGTATCTTAGAAAAAAAATAAAATCCTTTATAAGTAATGTAGTTAACAATCCACAGATACCAAACAGTGATACAAATTCAAAGATCTTTTTAGCAGTACACTTATTTTTAGCAAAAACTTAAAATGCAAGAAAAATGATAAGAAACCAGCCAATTTGAAATGAAATACAAAACAAGAGATGTTTGTAAAACACTTATGCCCCCTTCCCCAACAAATTGGAATGTTACTAAGTCAAAAAGGGCATAACTCTGTCAAAAATGATGATTTCGTACCCAAAACAAAACTCGACCTAGATATTCATCTGACTAATCTGTATACTTTATTCCATTTCAATATGTGCAACCTCTCCAAAGAAAATGAGTGGAAACTGCAAATTGGAATTTTTTTTAAGTTCAAGGGGCATAACTCTGTCAATTATTGTCTGATAGTAACCAAAACAAAACCAGCTGACTTCGATATTCATGTGATATACCTGTATACCAAATTTCATTTCAGTATGTGCAATGGTTATGAAGAAAATGAACGGAAACTAATTGGACCGACCAACAGACAACAGCAAAGCAATATGCCCTCCCTTCTTCGAAGGGGGGCATAAATATACATTTAAAAATAACTCCGGGTAATTCAATTTACTTTCAAGAGGCCAATGGGCTAATCTTGGTCACTTTGGCCCTGCATATGACACTTCATCAGGAGCCCCCCTCCCCCTTAGTAAACCTAAATAGTACAGCCTCCACCCACTACCAGCAAATGACTCCAGGTAAAAATGGGAAACTATTGCTTGGCTGTTCACTTTCAGTGATCTTTTTTTTTCTTATTTATTTTTTTCTTTATTTTACAAAATACCCAACATGTTAATACTCTGTGACAACTGTACCCCTGAGGACCATAATTTGAATAATTTAGAATCTAAACACTACACTATTGACTAACTCAAGAATGTTTAAAATGAAGTTATGAACATCATCTTTTATGGGCCTGTGGTTTTTTAGATTTAAAAAAAAATTCATTTTAAATGATACACCTCGATTAAGTTTTGTGACCTAAATTAATTCCTGGGGACATGATCTGAAAAATTTAGAATATGCACTTTCTCCTCAATTTTTACCTCTTCTGGGTCAATTATTCTTGAGAAGAGGGATCTATAATGACATCAAGCTTATCTTGTTTACCTCTCCTTCCTAAAGGTCAAGGACCTTTATTGAATTATGGTGAATATTTTACCTAAAGATGCCTTTGAATATTATAATAATTTAAGTGAAATAAGGCCCTGTCTTTTGAGCGTTTTTTTTAAAAACAAGTCCAAAATGTGAACGTTTATAAACAGCAAGATAGAGGGGTGATCAGTAAACTTCCCTAAGCTTTAAGCTCAGGTGAACTACAAATACTGGTTGGATAACAACAGAATAAAAGTCACAATTTACCTTTTCTTGAAATCCCATTTTAATTCCCTGTCCTCTCCACAAGCGTAAAATTCCTTTACATTATTCTGTGTAAAAATATAATTATGTATAATTTAGGCTAAGCTTAAAAAATTCTATGTTTGCAGTTGCCGACCTATAATTCTTAGACTGGGTAGGTAGGTAGGTAGTTTTTTTCTTTTTCTAAACGTTTTCAAATTTTTGTTAAATAGCATAAAATTAAGTTTTTCATATGCCTACTATACATGAATAAGCTCCACTTTTGGTATAAACTACTGATTGATAAAGACAAAAATTCACAATGAAACAATTTCAATATCCTGAATATTTTTAGAAAAAAAATATTTTTACAAAATGGCTAAAAAAAGTTTGGGTAGGGTGCAATTTTAGTGGGTCGGTAGGCAGCTGCAAACAAATAACATTTTATTTTAGGCTTTATTAATTAGAATATGGATAATTTATTTTTATGGTATAATTTATTAATTAAGTTTGTTCATTAATTTCAGTACGATTCATTTTACTTAAATTCATTTACCCTTATTCTGTTTGGTACACTGATGATCTCTTTTGTTTCTTCCTTTCTTTTTTCGAACTCCCTCTTCAGATCCCGTACTTCATTTCTTACCACCTTTATTGTTGAGAGGATTTCTTTTTGAGTTGCTTGCATTTCTTTTAATTGTCCTTGTATACCTATTTTACCAAATTCAAAGATTTAACAGAAAATAGATAAAAACATCTCATTAATATTTGAATCAGAATTAACAAAAACATATCAGGTGTCAATGCATTTTTTTTTGGGGGGGGGGGGTTCCAATGGTAAAATGTCTTTTCCCCATTATCATAAAAGAAAATTTCCCTGAGAAAAACTTAACAAATAGACAAAAATGTCTCAACTCAGTAATATGTGTTAAAAAACTAATAGGTATGCTAAAAAGAAACTGACTGAATAAATGTAAAATATGTCAAGACTTGCCAATGAAAAAAATTAATTGTACATTTACAAAAGTTATAAATATATTTTTCCAAATCACAACTAAATGTCACTATTTTTCTCAAAGGATAACATCCATGACCATAATTTTAAGACCTTAAAAGCCCCCAAGTATCTGTACCAACTCTTAAACAAGAGGCCAATGGACCACATTGTTTTTCTAAGTAAAGTTGGCTATGTTGTTGTTTACCAGACCCCTCCCCCTTGTAATACGAATTAACCTAAACCACAGGGGTCATGATTTGGATATTTAAGAATCTACACTACCCAAATGCAAGTATGTTCCATGTAATTTTAGCTTTTCTGACCCAGAGATTCCTTAGTAGTAGATTTTTAAAGATTTTCTCTATACATTAATGTAATATTATAATATATAAAAGAGCACTGATATATTTATTGAATTTTACCAAAATCATAATCCACATTTTAAAACTATTTAGCAGTTTGGATATTGCTTTATTTAGTTACAGAGTTATATTAATCAAGATACAATCTTACCTTTACTTAAGGTACGATTTGGAGTAACTGTTTCTGAGGAGTTTTCAGGCTGAGTAGGTACTTGAGGACCTCTAGGAGTTTTCTGTGCAAAAGAAGATGCATTATATTTACATTTATACTAGCAAATGTTCAATGAAATAAGGCTGTACATTTGTAACTATCTGATTAAAATTAGATGTTAGATCCGCTTGCATACTCACTACACTAACAGCTAACAACACCCCATTGAGGGTCACATCAGAGGTCAAATTCGGAACAACTCTAAACTTATTCCCTTCGATTAAGTTAACAAATTTCCGATGATTTTACCAGAGACAATTTGATTGGTTGATAGAATTTGACCTCTAACGTGACCCTCTGTGGGATGTTGTTAGATATTAGGTAGCAAGTATGCGAGTGGAAAACATATTTTTGTCTTGGGAGAAAAAAAACCATACTATTTCTTTTCCAACCCAAGTAACTGGGAAAAAAGCTTTTTTAATATCTAAAATAAGTTTTTGAAAGTGCATGCTTTCTTAAATCAAAATGATCCTAAGAAATTGAATTGATAATGAATTTTAAAAAATTGCACATGGTAGTTATTAATTAATTTTCTTTATACTTATTAAAATAGCCCTTTTAAATTTGACTTGACTTTTAGAAAAAAGCTTTTTATAAGATTCAATTTACATTTATGTTGTCCACATTTCTTTGTGATGCTTCTCTGGATGACTTGCTTGTTTTCTTTCTTGGCGATCTTCTCAAAGCACTGGTGCTAGACATCTAAGACACATACAGACATATCTTATGAAACAATTAATACTGGAGCCAAATCTTCCATAAACATTTAAGGTTTTTGTTAACAATTTATTAACTTTAAAAATAAAAGTATCAAAGAAGTTCTGACATAGTAACTGTATAAGTAATAATTAATTGATAACTTGAGTAATTTTCTTTTTTAAATGAATTTTTTTCTTTTAATTTTTATTTAGGACTTTGGTTTTAGATATGTACTATTCCAACTAATATGACACTTGTTTTTTAATGCATTGCAATATTTCATTTATCAAAGAAAATGCTATGCTGAATGTAATTAAGGCTAAAGTTAATCAAACCAGAAAAGAAATGAGTACATACTGCCCATGGGGGGGATTGAGTGTCAGCATCTGTATCATTGTCTGAGTCTTGCAGTATTGATCTCTCATCACTTTTCTTTTTTCTTGGCGATCTCCTTACAACAGCCACTCTTGATTTCTAAACATATTTTTTTTTTTTTAATTGACATACCCTCTTTGCTAATTTCATTTCTGAAGTTAATTCAATTTTTTTTTACATAAACAAAATATTCACTCAATATAAATATACATATATATTTATTATACCTCTACTGATATAAAAATTATGTAGTAAAATGTGAATAATTCCTTTAAAATCAATCCCCATGCTTTAGTCATACATATGAATCTCTGCTTTAGAAGCTAATACCTGGTAATCTGTAAATCTCTTGATTTTACTTTTTATCGGTACATGTATAATATATGAATGGACTAATTTCCTTGCATTAGTCGAGTAAGCTTATCCCCCACTGGAAGCTAATTCAGTCCTTTGTAATTCTCAAATTTCGAAAAACTTGTGAATTGGTATAACAAAACAGTTAAAAAAGTGAATCAATGAGGGAGTTATAAGATTTCAGTTCCCCTTGACCTGGTCTATTTCCATCAGCTGTGCCTTCAGAAATAGTACTGGTCTTGGGGAACTGAAATTTTGCCCACTCCCTCAATGGATTGATAAACTTTCACCCGGTACATCTTTAGTTCATTACCTTGCCAGAAGTTGACGGAGTCTGCTCAGGCTCAGATTCTTTGTTCCTTGAACTCTGTACAAGCTTTTCTTTAGCATTCTTGTAATAAAATGAAAGTAATAAGCTAATGATGTGTTAATAAATTTAATGAAAGCTGTCTCATACTACACTGTACTAGCTTAAAATTTATCAAAAAGCGGGAGGAGGGGGGGGGGGGGGTGTTATTAAAATGAGCCCCAACTTCTCAATAGAAAATAAATATAAGCCAAGGCTGTATTATTTTTGCTGTCTTAACACAAATATACAAAGATATGAGATCTATGTAAATGAACATTAAAATTAAAAGAATTTAAGAAAAAAAAAAGAAATCAAAACTATCAAGAGTTTTTATTAACAGTAGCCTTACCAGAATTGAGTCAGATTCCGACGCAGCATCACTTGTTTGGGAGAGGGGCCTTAGGACACGTACACGTCTAAGGGCGCCCGGGCTCCGGTGGCGCTTTTTCTTCTTCACTGGGGTGATTGTCGTGCTATCAATATCACTACAGTCTAGGGACTCGATTTCCGTATCTTCTAACGCTAAATGTAAACTCTCCTGACTCTCGTTATCTTGTTCTGGGCCGCTGTAGTCCATGTTCACACTGGCCATTTTCGCATCTTGCTTTTGAATTCGTGATAGGCCGCATTTATGCCTGAGCGCCTTTCCATCCCGACTTGTGATTGGCTGTCAGCATCTCTCTCCATATTTGGCAGTACCAAACAGGCGTTCGTTTATTGGTTCGCGTTTTTATTTTATTGTTATATTACTGTCAATTTCTTTTCAATACAACCTTTTGTTCAATATTTTAAATAGAAAAGGATTTTTAAAATGTTTTTATTTAAAGTCAGGTGTTTTTATGTGCTTAAATCAAAGTTATCAAAACAGTCACCGATATATCAGCGAATTCAACAACGATTAATTTACTTAGTACGAAAACAAAAAAGCCCGCTCAAACACTAATTGACTAGATTCAAGAACAAAGAACGACGAAGTCTCTGAAAGAAGTTCTTCCATATACATGCATTAAAACCTGAACACTTGTCTACATCAACTGTAAGTAATTTATAAATGTTTTAAATAACTATTTACATATACAGAACATTATATGTACAATATTATTACTGAGTTTATTAGAAGAAAGAGGGGGGGGGGGGGGGGGGGGGGTCTGGGTCAAACTCTACTTAGACTGTTAGAGTGGGGATTTTTTAATGTGAACTCATATGTATAATTAATTATTAAACTTGAAATGAATCTGTTAATTTGTAAAAATTGAGTTTCAGTAGGCTAATCATGCTAATGGATTGTATTTGCTGGGGGGGGGGGGGGGGTTGAGAAGGAATGGGTACAAAATTTATTTCAGGATTTCTTTTCAAAAATCCCCACGTCCTTTGAATTTATAAACTGTTGATAATTATGTTGTTAAAATTATGAATGTGTTTATTATTATATCAGTAATGTGAGTCTTATTGTAGAACATTTCAAATAATAATTAATATCACTCAGTCAGGGGTGAAACTTAACCTGTCAAATGTGTGAAATCTAACCTATTTGAAAATGATGGAAAAATTTCATTTCTTTTAACTACATAATGTAGTTAATTTCATATTTTCAACACCTTGGCCAGTTAATTCTTTGAACCAATTTTTTACACTTAAGCACTTGGCTAATAAGATATATAGTATACACTATATCATGTCATGGATTCGTGTGAAGAGAATGTCTGAGAAACATCTTGACAAACAATATTGAAACCAAAATAAATTAGTGCACCCAAAAAATACTAATAAAATACTTAAGTTTGCCCAGATCCAGCATTTTAATCAGATAAAAAATAAATGATGAGTTATATTTCTCATTACATGTAGAAGGAACTCTATATTAAAATTAATTCCAAATAATAGTTATGACTGTTTTTTCATCATTATTGTTATGTCTATGCATTCCTGAAATATGTTACATGTACGTTATTGGTTCTTACTGTTATGTGTTCGTCTTATTAACAAGTAGTTCCTGCCATACACACATGTTGTCATTACATAATTAATTGTGTTCCAATACACAAAATTTAATCTTAAATATGATGCATTTTAGTCATTATTACACCATTTTAAAAATATGCATAGATTCTCATTCCCACCTGACCCAATTTTTTACTCCGCCTCGATTTTTTAAATTTCTTTTTTCTTTAATTGTCTTATTTTTGATTGGGATCGGTAAACATTTACATTTTACTTTGGTTTAAATGAAATCCTGCATATGTCGGCATGATCAAGACAGCTGAAAAATATGGTAATTGCTATAACTAATACATATTAAACAAAGCCTTAGGGTAATTTGTTGTGAAAAATTAGTGAAGTAATAGATAAATGGACATGTACTATGGCTTTCATTTGGGTATCATGGATAAATCTGCAAAACTGGAGAAAAAAAATGAAATTAAAGCCGCTTGCTCGCCCTGATTAAAAAAAAAAAATTGATGAGAATCTAGGAAATTTTTTTATAATGGCTTTCAAACTCTATTTTATGACTTACACTAGAAAATCACTATTTTTTTTTTTTAATGATGAATTTGAATTATATTCCCTGATTGAATATGAATTTCAATTAATCAGTTTATGAAAAAAATCTTAACTTTTTATTGTTTGTTCGTTGTATACAAATTTTACTTTAATACAAATATACATAGAATTATATATCATAAATTATAACCCCCCACCCCCTGCAGTGCTGTTCTGGCAGCAGGATGCAATAAATGCTATGATGTGGATGCCTGAAAAGCTCTGTTTCTCCCCAGTAATTGAGAGCTCTGTTGGATAAAGGAGATAAGGGGTAGAAAGATTGGAGAGACAGAACTATTGCAAAAGTGTTTAGAGTTAAAGAACAATGAAATGATCATCTACTGACATGCTGAGAGACTCATTATAATGAATTAGACAAATACAAGGTCTAGGACAACAAAGTTACTCCCTGCTGGTCTTTATCTTTGCTGTAAAGCTGTTATCTTGTGTGTAAAATGTCCCTGCTGCTATCCAATGCAAAGCCCAGTGTGGTCAAATGTGACACCTCACTGACATCTGCACTTGGCAGTACCTGGATATTTAGTGTGAAAATTAGCGACATCAATCAACCAAACTTGTAAGAGATTTATTAGGACCCGACACTCCAAACCACACTTTAAGTAGATATGTTTTTTGCATAGAGCAGATTAATATTTGATTTGAATTATGCAAGTAGTTGTAGAGTGTTTCGGCTATTAAGAAGCCTCATCAGGGGTCACGGACATAAATCATGGTGTTTGTTTTAGGTGAGACCGGATTATCTCGTCACCTATATTCTTGTGTTTGCTGTAAGCAATGATTGGTTGAGAAATAAAGTTTTGCATTCTGGATTTCTAAGAATGGTGTTCCAATTGTGAAAATTAGCGACATCAATCAACCAAACTTGTAAGAGATTTATTAGGACCCGACACTCCAAACCACACTTTAAGTAGATATGTTTTTTGCATAGAGCAGATTAATATTTGATTTGAATTATGCAAGTAGTTGTAGAGTGTTTCGGCTATTAAGAAGCCTCATCAGGGGTCACGGACATAAATCATGGTGTTTGTTTTAGGTGAGACCGGATTATCTCGTCACCTATATTCTTGTGTTTGCTGTAAGCAATGATTGGTTGAGAAATAAAGTTTTGCATTCTGGATTTCTAAGAATGGTGTTCCAATATTTTAGAATTCGTTTTTTCAGTCCTTTAACGCAAGGGTTAAATTTAGTAACCAGTACTGTAGGGTTACGTAATGACTGTTCTTTAGTCTTTTTGATGATGAGTTTTGATCGGTTTGTGTTGACCGTTTCCTTGATAATAGGATCAATTTCCGAAGTAGAGTAGCCTCGCTTTGATAAGTGCGTCTTGAAGTCATTAAGTGTTGCATGTAATATTTCAGGGTCAGTGGTGTTTCTTGCATGTCTAATGCATTCTCCTTTAATGAATCCTTTAAACACAGCTGGGCTATGAGCGCTCTGTCTGTGTAGATACTGAAAATTATTTGTTGGTTTGATAAACGACTTGATATCAAGTTTGTTAAAATTTTGAAATTTCTGTCCTTTATAAATTGTAGTATCAAGGAAGTTGACAGCAGATGGAGAAATTTCAAATGTAAATCTGAGATGCTTGTGACAGTGATTGCCGATATTAAAGAATTCTTCTATCTCTGGTTGCGTTCCATTGAATATTATGAAACCGTCATCACGGTATCTGCCGTGGAAGACAATTTTGCTGGCATGACGAAATTGTGCCATTATATTATTATATTATAAAACGAATTCTAAAATATTGGAACACCATTCTTAGAAATCCAGAATGCAAAACTTTATTTAATTCTCAACCAATCATTGCTTACAGCAAACACAAGAATATAGGTGACGAGATAATCCGGTCTCACCTAAAACAAACACCATGATTTATGTCCGTGACCCCTGATGAGGCTTCTTAATAGCCGAAACACTCTACAACTACTTGCATAATTCAAATCAGATATTAATCTGCTCTATGCAAAAAACATATCTACTTAAAGTGTGGTTTGGAGTGTCGGGTCCTAATAAATCTCTTACAAGTTTGGTTGATTGATGTCGCTAATTTTCACAATATTGGAACACCATTCTTAGAAATCCAGAATGCAAAACTTTATTTAATTCTCAACCAATCATTGCTTACAGCAAACACAAGAATATAGGTGACGAGATAATCCGGTCTCACCTAAAACAAACACCATGATTTATGTCCGTGACCCCTGATGAGGCTTCTTAATAGCCGAAACACTCTACAACTACTTGCATAATTCAAATCAGATATTAATCTGCTCTATGCAAAAAACATATCTACTTAAAGTGTGGTTTGGAGTGTCGGGTCCTAATAAATCTCTTACAAGTTTGGTTGATTGATGTCGCTAATTTTCACACTTTGACTAGGGACAATGTCCCACCGGCATCATCCCGTGCATCGCCCTCCCTTGGACAGCGATCGACTTGTGTGGTTTATTTGGTCATCCAACAATCCGGCCACACTCTTTGCTTCTATTGTCCTCTAAGACATTTTATTACCAGCACTTCCTTTACCAAATCAGCACATGCTTGTAAAGGATTGAACTGCTACTTCAAAGATCGTCTTTTACGCTTCTCTTATAATCAAATACTTCGGCTTGCTCAAGTATACACATACAGTAGTGCCCTTCATTCAATTACTTTGTACCAATGCAAGAAAACCACGAGAATATCAGATTGTGAATACTAGGATATATTAAAGGACCAGATCAGCTTAAACCAGGAAGAATTCATTCAGGATTTGGACAGTCATGTGAAATATTAATCCTCTTATTATCATCATATGATATTAAGACGGATCTTTATTTTAGCCTCATTTTATGACGCTATGTATATCAGACGGTTTAAGATCCACAGGATTTAATTACTATAAAATTGGTGTGCATTAGCCACCCATGGGACCAGCTCTTAAACAAACACCGCCCCTTGCACGTGACCATAACGAATCATCGGAATCTGACTATCGGTTTCTTATAGCCACATACTCTTCTTATCCTCTAATCTATCAACACTTATTGATAATTAGACGGATTCATTATCTCATCGAAATACTCATTGTTGATCTATAGCGCCTCGCTATATACAATATATTTACCACCAACTGCTCCTCTATTTGAATGGCTCGACGAATAAATAGACG